AGGTATGAGATTAGAAATAGGACGAATGTTTACTAGATTGTGGTAGGTATGGAATTAGAAATAGGACGGATGTTTACTAGATTGTGGTAGGTATGGGATTAGAAATAGGATGTTTAATGGATTGTGGTAGGTATGAGATTAGAAATAGGACTGATGTTTACTAGATTGTGGTAGGTATGGGATTAGAAATAGGACGGATGTTTACTAGATTGTGGTAGGTATGGGATTAGAAATAGGAAGGATGTTTAATGGATTGTGGTAGGTATGATATTAGAAATAGGACTGATGTTTACTAGATTGTGGTAGGTATGAGATTAGAAATAGGACGCATGTTTACTAGATTATGGTAGGTATGGGATTAGAAATAGGACGGATGTTTACTAGATTGTGGTAGGTATGAGATTATAAGAAGGATGAAAGTGTGATGTTTGATTGTTAATGATAAAAAACAATAAACCTATCGTTGTGTCATTTATTAGTGCAACTAATTGCACAATTGTCATCCATTGACGATAGGTTTGTGCGCTTGAAATCATGCCAAGTTAATTTTCCCGCCATTAGAGTAATCGTCTGCTATCCGCTTCATGAATGGTATTTGATGGAGGATGTGTGGAATAATGTTAACACTTGATAAGACTTATCTCTTGGGTTTTGACTGATGACTAGCATAATTATAAACAGGTATGACGTGTTGATACACCCACCTAACAAGATCCGTCGGGATACAGGCGGTAAACGTATTCAGGAGTCATTGACTTTCCCTGTGATACCAAAGAAGCTCTGTACCAACCAGGGAACAACAGCACGAATAATAAAATGTAAACACTTAATTAACAAAATTCGACTCTCTTGTCTCAAACCTCAGTCTTAAATAAATATGTCACAAGTGACCAGCACTCTTGAAAGATATAAAAATGTCAAATGCACTAGTGAAATATATGACCGAAGACACTATTGAATATTCTATTTATCACATTTTCACAAGCATAGAACAGCTGTACAACGAGGAAGCTGACAAGGCGTTCTGAGGACACTGCTCACTCATTGTAACTAAGCAATAGGCGACAGAACATAGTCTATTTTCTAAAATTGTTATACATATGTAGACATAAAATATGTTCAATGTTAATTTAGTTTTCTATTCAAATAGAAAATTACTTATTTATTCATGTATATAACAATCAAATTTTGTTGTAAAACGTTCAGAGTTCATGAGACAAGTTAATACGCCTTAATATCACCTTGAAACGTCTAACGTGTTAGCTGCATATTCAAGACGTTCAGTTGGAGATTTGGTTTGATCTCTGATAAGGCGTTGCATAGTTTGCTAAATTCATGGAAATGAAAGTAAACCATGGGATTAAATATCGTATTAATAGTAAACAACCCCTTCAGGTTTATGGGTTTGGTTTGTACCGAGCTTTATGATTAGTTAATCTCATTTTTGTGTTCTCTCTTTTCATTGGCGTTAGTCTGCAAAAGTGATGGAAAATAACACTATGAGATAATTCTTTGTATTTCACTTTATGATAAATCAACCACGGTGAAAGACAGATATTATCCGAATGTGTCTATCATGGTATGAGGATGAGACCATCAGAAAGGTATCTACCATGTACGGTGGATGATATCTGAAAGGACACTGTCGTGGTATCAAGTGGATGACGTCCGAAATGTGCCTGTCATGGTATAAGGTGGATGACGTCCGAGAAGAATCTATCATAGTATCAGGTGGATGACGTCCGAGAGGAATCTATCATGGTATCAGGTGGATGACGTCTGAAAGTTGCCTGTCATGGTATCAGGTGGAAGACGTCCGAAAGGTGCCTGTCATGGTATCAGGTGGATGACCTCTGAGAGGAATCTATTATGGTATCAGGTGGATTACGTCCACGTGGCGTATACGCATGACATCGGAAGGTATTTATCATGGTATATGACAGAAGACATCCGAAATAAATGCCAACATGGCAACATAATCATAATTCAAACTCAGATCTCATAAAACTAGGGCAAAATAGCAACAAAAGAAATATTTTACATGGAAACTCCTGAAATAGTCCAAGGAGAATAAGACCAGGTGTGTCGGAAGAGTAGGCGTTTTCTGCTTCATCGACGACACCCGAAAGGCATCTATCAGCGAAAGTGGATGATTTATCATAGTGTGATGTTGATGGCATTACATATTAGAACAATCTCTGGTGACTATTTTTACACATTCTACACTGACTTTAACCTTACATATGGCAATGCATATAACCAGGGAACGTTTGCGAGTCATATGACGCGTTTTCATCAGATACTTTTACGCACTATCCTATTGAAGGTTGTGTAAACAAATGTTTTACCGTCTGGGAATTTATTTCAAGGTTGAAATCTAACAAGTTGGAATTTTCGTCTGTAGCCTTTTCACTATCGTTTTGGATAATCGTCTTCAATTAAATTTTGTTATTTATCGGTGTAAAACGCTTGCAGACGATGTCTGCATGTGTTAAAGCGACCATGATAAATCAAATTTAGCAATTGAAATAATATAACTGCATAATTTTGTTTTAGAATAACAAAATATAAGAAAAGTCTAGATTGCTAAATTTTATTTAGAATTATTTTTTCGGTGAAAAACAAATGTAGGCAAGTAGTTTTATCTTTATCCAAAATTAGAAAATCCGGTGCAGTGGTCAGTGGTTTTGAGGCCTGGTGAGGGAGAGATTTTAGTTAAGGGTTTCGAGTCTCGGCGAGGGAGAGATTATTGTTAAGGGTTTAGGGTCTCGGTGAGGGAGAGACTTTAGTTAAGTGTTTCGGGGCTCGGTGAGGGAGAGATTATTGTTAAGGATTTCGGGGCTCATTGAGGGAGATATTATTGTTAAGTGTTTCGCGTCTCGATGAGGGGAAGATTTTTGTTAAGGGTTTCAGGGTTCGGTGAGGGAAAGGCTTTTGTTAAGGGTTTCGGGGCTCATTGAGGGAGAGATTATTGTGAAGGGTTTCGGGTCTCGGTGAGGGAGAGACTTTAGTTAAGGGTTTCGAGGCTCGGCGAGGGAGAGATTATTGTTAAGGATTTCGGGTCTCGGTGAGGGAGAGACTTTAGTTAAGTGTTTCGGGGCTCGGTGAGGGAGAGGCTTTTGTTAAGGGTTTCGGGGCTCATTGAGGGAGAGATTATTGTTAAGGGTTTCGGGTCTCGGTGAGGAAGAGACTTTAGTTAAGGGTTTCGAGGCTCGGTGAGGGAGATATTATTGTTAAGGATTTCGGGGCTCATTGAGGGAGAGGTTATTGTTAAGGGTTTGGGGTCTCGATGAGGGAGAAATTTTTGTTAAGGGTTTCAGGGTTCGGTGAGGGAAAGGCTTTTGTTAAGGGTTTCGGGGCTCATTGAGGGAGATATTATTGTTAAGGGTTTCGGGTCTCGGTGAGGGAGAGACTTTAGTTAAGGGTTTCGGGTCTCGGTGAGGGAGAGACTTTAGTTAAGGGTTTCGGGGCTCATTGAGGGAGAGATTATTGTTAAGGGTTTCGGGTCTCGATGAGGGAGAGATTTTTGTTAAGTGTTTCGGGTCTCGGTGAGGGAGAGGCTTTTGTTAAGGGTTTCGGGGCTCATTGAGGGAGAGACTTTAGTTAAGGGTTTCGAGGCTCGGCGAGAGAGAGATTGTTGTTAAGTGTTTCGGGTCTCGGTGAGGGAGATACTTTAGTTAAAGGTTTCGAGGCTCGGCGAGAGTAAGACTTTAGTGAAGGGTTGTTAAAGGGTGTCCAGTAGTGGATAATCAAGCGAGGTAGTGTTGAAGACTTAGCGTAGAAACGGTTTTTAGTAGCGGATAAGCCTGTGAGCTACCGTTGAAGTCTCGACGTTGGAGGGATTTCTAGTAATAGTTAATCAAGTGAGGTAGTGTCGAAAGCACGAAATGTTAAGGGTTTCTAGAAGTGAAGTATCTTTGAGGCTCAAGAGATTTATTGTAGTAGATAAACCAGAGAGTTAGTGTTGAATGTTCGACGTTAGAGGTATTTCTAGAAGTGGATACTCACGTGTTGAATTCTTTCAAACGTGGAATGATTTCTAGTTTTGAATTATCCAGTGAGGTAGTGTTCAAGATTAGACGTTGATGGAATTTATAATCGTCGATAATTCATTGAGGTAGCGTTCAAGGCTCGACGTGGGGGGGGATTATTAGTAGTGAATAATCAAGTGAAGGTTCGACATGGAAGGGCTCTCTAGATAATCAAATGGGATCTTGTTGAAGGCTCGAAGTGGTAGGGATTTCTTGTAGTGAATAATCCAGTGAAGAAGTGTTGAAATCTTGGCGTGGAATGGATTTCTAGTAGTGGCTAATGAAATAAAGTAGTGTTGAAGGCATGTCATGGGAGGTGTTTCTGTTAGAAGATAATCAACTAATGTAGTGATGAAAACTCGGCGTTGAAGAGATTCCTTGTATTAATAGATGAAGAGAAGAAGTGTTGAATGTGAAAGGGAATGGGATTTCTATCTAGAAGTGGATATTGAAGTGAAGGTAGCATTGAAGGCTCGGCGTGAAAGGGATTTCTAGAAGTGGATAATGAAGTGAAGCTATGTCGAAGACTCGGTGTGAAACGGATTTCTTGTAGTGGATAATGATATGAGGTAGTGTTGAAGATTTGGTGTGAAAGGAATGCGCAATGAAGTAGTTATAATGTTTAATTAGTATTTCTAGAACTGTCTAGTATTTTTGAGTTAAAGGGCAAAGGAAAGATGTCGAGAAATAAATAATGTCGAGAAATAAATAATGCGGTGAAGTATTTACTATTTGTACAAATGGTTGTTATGGCTGTTCAGGACCGGTGGTAGTTACAAACATAACACGCGTTTCAGCCTCCAATAGTAATATGTTCACGCCACGGGAAACAACATGACCTTTGACCTACAGAGTATTAATTCATAAACACCCCGAGCTTTGAGGTAGGTCAATAGACTAGGGCTCGCAGATAGCAATGTACCGTTAAATAGTGAGCACAGCGAAGTGTTTTACTCCTTGTGTACAAAGACTGACGGTCACAACAAATTATTTACCGTTTAACAGAGATTACTAAAGAGAATAACGTTTGGAAAAAGAAAAACGGAAACCATTTTCTCACAGGCAGCTTATTAATACTTATACTTATTTTGCTTCAAAATTATTAGTGTATTGGAGAGGATAATTAGTTACCAACATTCCACAAATGAACTGAAATTAAGACAAAACGTGTGATCTATTAAAAACCTGAATTCAAGTGTTTCAGTGTCCATAAGTGAACAGTCGTCATGCTTGGACTAAGTAACACATGCGTCTTACAACTTGTGTGTGTTCACTTGCTTGTGTGTTACAGTGATCCGCCAATGACCACACCTATGGTCGATCTTGGAGTAACTGACCAGCCAACTACACCACCAGTAACAGCCAGCACTTCTCCACGTATTGACCTAGCTCAGCGCCGTCTCTACATGTTTGTATTTCTAAAGTAGCTTAATAATACGTTCCATTTCAGTGATTAATCAAGTCAAGCAGATAAATATGCATCCATTTATTAAGCTAAGACATTTTTGATGTACCTCAACCAAATCGGTTTCAGAAGTTGGGCATTGAAGTTATTTCTCAGTGGGAAATCGATCCTAAATCGATATAGGAAACTTTGGTTTTCTTTAAATAGGAAATTTATATTACTTAAAGGAACATTAATGCTATTTCTTACTGGGAAATTACTGTTTTAGTTCAGTGGAAAATTTAGGGTCTCTCCATAGCAAATTGATATTACGTATCCTTTGGAAACTGATGTCATGGCGCAATAGGAAATTGGTGTTTTAGTGAAACTGTAATGAATAAAATTGTGCAGCTGGAAATTAATATCAATACTTTAGTGGGATATTTATTTTTAGTGTAGTGTGAACTGATGTTTTAGGGAAATTGAAATGAATGTTTATTGTGCAGCTGAAAATTAATATCATGGATTAGCGGGATATTTATTTTTTAGTGTGAACTGATGATTTAGTGCAATTTGAACTTGATATCTCAGTGGTGTGGAAAGTGGATGGTTTAGCGTCATTGGAAATTGATGACATGGCTTAGTAGAATATTGATGAAAATTCAATAATCTTGCAATCATAAAAAATCATTTTTATCTCGCAGTGGGATATTGATTTCATATCAGTGGAAAATTAATGTCATGGTGCGATAGAAAAAAATGGTGTTTTAGCGTAGTAGGGACGTGATATCAAGGTGCAAAAAGAAATCGGCGTTTTAGTGTAGTAACGATTTGATGTCAAGGTGCTATAGCAAATTGGTGTTTTAGCGTAGTAGCCATTTGATGATATGGTGCAATAGGAAATTGGTGTTTTAGCGTAGCAGCGACGTGATGTGATGATGCAATATGAAATGGGTATTATAGCGTAGTAGCAATTTGAGGTCATGGTGCAATCGGATATTGGTGTTTAACGTAGTAGGGACGTGTTGTCATATTGCAACAAGAAAATGATGTTTTAGCTTGGTAGCAATTTGATATTATGATGAAATAGGAAATTAAAGTTTTAGAATAGTAGGTACGTGATGACATGTTGCAAATGGCAATTTGTATTTTAGCGTAATAGCAATTTGATGTCATGGTGCAAAAGGAAATTGGTGTTTTAGCATAGTTACGATTTGATGTCATGGGGCAATAGGAAATTGGTGTTTTATCGTAGTATGAAAGTGATGTCAAGGTGCAATAGGAAATTGGTGTTTTCAGCAAAATAGCGATTTGATGTCGTGGTGCAATAGGATATTCGTGTTTAAGCATAGTAGGGACGTGTTGCCATGATGCAATATGAAATTAGCGGTTTAGCGCAGTAGCGTTTGATGTCATGGTGCAATAGGATATTCGTGTTTAAGCGTAGTAATCATTGGATGTCATGTTGAAATAGGAAATTGGTGTTTGAGCGTAGTATGAATGTGATGTCACGTTGCAATAAGAAATTAGTGTTTTAGCGTAGTAGCTAATTGATGTCATGATGCCAGAGAAAATTGGTATTTTAGCGTAGTAGTGACTTAATGTTATGGTGCAATAGGAAATTGATGTTTTAGTGTAGTAAGGATTTGATGTAAATGTGCAATTGGAAGTTAGAGTTTTAGCAAAATAGCGAGTTGATGTCATGGTGAAATAGGAAATTGGTGTTTTAGTATAGTAGCCATTTAATGTCACGATACAATAGGAAATTGGTGTTTTGTCGTAGTATGAGCGTGATGTCAATATGCAAATGGAAATCGGTGTTTTAGCGTAACAGCGACTTGATGTCATGATAAAAGAGGACATTGGTGTTTTAACGTAGCAGCGATTTAATGTCATGGTGAAATAGGAAATTGGTGTTTTATCGTAGCATGAACGTGATGACAATGTGCAAATGGAAATCGGTGTTTTAGCGTTGCAGCGACTTCATAACATGGTACAATAGGAAATTAGTGCTTTAGCGTAGTAACGATTTGATGTCATAATGCAATAGGAAATTGGTGTTTTAGCGTAGTAACTATTTGATGTCATATTGCAATAAGAAATTGGTGTCTTAGTGTAGTAGCGATTGATGTCATGATGCAATAGGAAATTGATATTTTAACGTATCGGCCTCTTGATGTCACGATGCAATATGATATTGATGTTTAGCGTAGTAGGTACGTAATGTCAAGGTGTAATAGGAAATTAGTATTTTAACGTAGCAACGATTTGATGTCATGATGCAATAGGAAATTGGTGTTTTAGCGTGGTACCCATTTGATGTCATTGTGCAATAGGAAATTGGTGTTTTGGCATATTAGTCATTTGATGTGACGATGCAATATGAAATTGGTCTTTTATGATAGTATGAACGTGATGTCAAGTTGCAATAGGAAATTGGTGTTTTAGCGTGGTACCCATTTGATGTCATTGTGCAATAGGAAATTTGTTTTTTGGCATATCAGTCATTTGATGTGACGATGCAATATGAAATTGGTGTTTTAACATAGTATGAACGTGATGTCAAGTTGCAATAGGAAAATGGTGTTTTAGCGTTGCAGCGACTTGATGTCATGGTGCAGTAGGAAATTGGTGCTTTTGGCGTGGTAGCCATTTATGTCATGGTGCAATAGGAAACTGATGTCTTAACGAAGAAACAATTTGATATTATGATGAAATCGGAAATCGATGTTTTAGGGTAGTAAGAACGTGCTGTCATGATGCAATAGGAAATTAGTGGTTTAGTGTAGTAGCGATTTGATGTCACGATGTAATAGTAAATTGGTGCTTAAGCGTAGTAACCACTTGATATTATGGTGCAATAGGACATTGATGTTTCAACGTAGTATAGACGTGATGTCATATTGCAATAGGAAATTGATGTTTCAACGTAGTATGAACGTGATATGAAGATGCAATAGGAACTTAGCATTTTAGCGTAGCAACGACTTGATGTCAGGATGCAATAGGATATCGTTGTTTTAGTGTAGTAAGAATTTGATGTAAATATGCAATAGGAAATTTGTGTTTTAAAGAAATAGCGAGTTGATGTTATGGTGCAATATGAAATTGATGTTTTAGCGTAGTAAGGACGTAATGTCAAGGTATAAAAGGAAATTGGTGTTTTCGCTTAGTAGCGATTTGATGTCGTGGTGCAATAGGAAATTGGTGTTTTAGCGAAGTAGCCATTTGATGTCAGGGTGTAATAGGAAATTGGTGTTTTAACGAAGATGCAATTTGATATTATGTTGAAATAGGAAATTGATATTTTAGTGTTGCAGCGACTTGATGTCATGGTGCAATAGCAATTGGTGTTTCAACGTAGTAGCGATTTGATGTCACGATGCAGTAATAAATTGGTGTTTAAGCGTAGTAATCATTTGATATCATGGTGCAAGAGGGAATTAGTGTTTTAGCTTAGGAACGACTTGATATCAAGATGCAATAGGAAATTGGTGTTTTAGCGTATCAGCCTTTTGATGTCACGATGCATTTGGAAACTGGTGTTTTAGTGTAGTAAGGATATGATGTCATGATATCAAAATTAATGTGTTAGTGTAGTAACGATTTAATGTAAGTGTGAATTGGAAATTTGTGTTTCCTATTGCATCTTGACATCACGTCCCTACTACGCTAAAACCATGAACCATGACATCAAATTTCTACTATGCTCAAACACATATTTCCCTTTGCACCTTGACATCAAATCGCTACTACTCTAAAACACCAATTTCATATTGCATCTTGACATCAAATTTCTACAACGCTGAAACACATATTTCCCTTTGCACCTTGATATCGAATCGCTATTACGCTTAAACACCAGTTTCCTATTGCACCTTGTCATCACGTTCCTAATATGCTAAAACACCAGTTTAACATTGCATCATCAAATCGCTACTACGCCAAAACATCAATTTCTTATTGCACCTTGACATTACTACCTACTACGGTAAAACACCGATTTCCTATTGCACCATGACATCAAGTCGTGGCAACGCTAAAGCACCAATTTCCTATTCCACCTTGACATTACATTCATACTACGCTAAAAGACCAATTTCCTATTACACCATGACATTAAATTACTACTTTGTTAAAACACCAATTATCTTTTGCACCGTGACATCGAATTGCTACTAAGCTAAAACACCAATTTCCAATTGCACGATTACATCAAATCCTTAGTACACTAAAACAACAATTTCCTATTGCACCATGAGATCAAATCGCTGCTACACAAAACACCAATTTCCTATTTCACCATGACATCATATCGCTACTTCGCAAAAACACAACTTTCCTCTCTTTCATCTTGAAATCAAATGGCTACTACGCTAAAACTCCAATGTCCTATTGCACCGTGACAGCAAATTGCTACTACCAAGAAACACCAATTTCCTATTGCATCATGACATCAAATGGCAACTACGATAAAACGCCAATTTCCAAATGCGCCATGACATCAAAACGTTACTAAGCTAAAACACAAATTTCCTATTACACATTTAAATCAAATCCTTAATACACAAAAATATCAATTTCTTATTGCACCATGACATCAAGTCGCTACTACGTTGAAACAGCAATTTTTATTGCATCGAGACATCAAATGGCTATATTGCTAAAACACCAATTTCTTATTGCACCATGACATCTTATGGCTACTACGCTAAAACATCCATTTCCTATTGCACCATGACATCAAGTCGCTGCAACGCTAAAACACCAATTTTCAATTTTTATCATATTATCAAATTGTTTCTTCGTTAAAACACCATTATTCTATTACACCCTGACAACAAACGGCTACAACAATAAAACACCAATTCTCTATTGCATCATGACATCAAATCGTTACTACGCTAAAACACCAATTTCCTGTTTTACCATGATATCAAATCGCTACTACGTAAAAACACCCATTTCTTATTGAACCTTGACATCAAATCGCTACTACGCTAAAACATCAATTTCCTATTGCA